TCTTAAAAGAAAAAATATTTGGTTATATCTCATTGCTTATAATTGCATAAGCGAGCAGCACCTCCAATTTGTGTTGTTAGTCTTGAAGTGGTCAGAATTTTAGAGCTAGCTGTAAAAACGGACGGCGAATGAAAAGCGGCAGAAAGAAAAATGTATCGAGAAAATTTCCTATTTTACTGAGTTTTATTCGGGATATTAATCTACACGTCAGGCGGATCACTTGAAGTGACTAAATATCCTATGTGGATAGTCTAGCAACAGATATGTACATATATCAATGAAAAGATTTTCAATGGGGTCTTCACTTGTACCCCAAACCATTACTGAATTGTTCGTTACACTCCTATCGTCAAGGATTGGGTAAAAATGAGGAGGTGTAGGAAGGCGCGAATCTATCCATGAATGCACAAATGCAGGTTTAGTGTAGTCTGCCGCAGTAACCACAGCGGGGTTGGGCTATGGTGGTACGTTTCTACCGGGCGTGAACGAGCAGAACATACCGAATTTCATAAAAACAAAAAAAAATTCTTTTTATCTGAGCATGTAAACCGATTTTGATGTTCTTTCAGATTTACGCTTTTCTGGTTAAAACCAGCATATGCTCTGAATATCATTAAAATCGGATAACAATTACTATTTTCGCCCACTAGAGCTGTGGGCGTGGTAGCGCCTCCAATTCTACCATTGTCTCATTTCTTCATTCCTAAGTGCCAAATAGCACATATACGAAATAGCAGCGAATTTGTAGTACGGCTAATACTTTTGGCCACAGCTTACATATATGGACACGTCCAACTGTGCGGCGGCGCGTGAGGAATAACAAAAAAACGGCGGGGGCGGTCCTGGATAAAAAATCACTTCGCGTATTATATATGTCTAGTGAACACACATGACGTTAAAACGCCAACATTGAATTTAAATTTATAAATAGGTGGCAAGGAAGGGAGCTCTCGCATAGTGAAAAATAGAAAATTCTAGCTTCAAAAAATAAAATTTTATTACATATCTACTGACCCTCAGATTTAGTTTGACATCTCATTTTTGAAATCCGATGTAACAGTGCAGATCTGGTGACCTTCTCAAAAAATGCTGTTTATAGATATTACTTTTCGAGTATATGGCGAAATTATTTTCAAACTAAAGTTTTCCATTTAATTTAACTTTTGCATCAATTAAATAAATTAGACTTTTCTCTGGCATTGTGAACCATATCGCAATTAACTGACGAATAAAGTTGTTGATTTTTTAAACACATGTCAACTCTTTTCAACACAGTTTACAAATAAATCTTTTTCAAACCCATTTCACTTGATGCCCAAGTTTTAATAATTCATTAAACTTATTAAATAATTTTAATCTAACTTTTTTAACAGGTGGAAGCCCTCTACAAAAACTCCAAAAATGTCTATATTTTTAAATTAAAGATCTCTTAACACACGTTTGTTTGACACCGATGGTTTAATATTTCACACAACTTGTATATAAGTTAACTAAATTCGGCTCTTAAAACAGGTGGCAACCCTGTGAAAAATGTTTAATTTGATATCTAATTTTTGAAAATCGAACGAACGGTGCGAATCTAATAGCATTGGTTATAGAAAATGTTGAATTAGTTTTTTAGCAGGTGGCAACCCTTCTCGAAAAAGTAAAACCTTGTCGCACATATACAGGCCAAGCCATTTCACATTTCACACCTCATCTTTGATAGTCGAACGAATGGTGCAGATCTGGTGACCTGGACAAAAAATCCCTTCGCGTATTATATATCTGTGGTCATAAGCATTAACCGCCTAAGTCGACTTAAGAAAGAATTGAGTTATATATGCTATCGTATTTCGGCAAATACTATTCCATGTGTATGCGAAATCCCCATATCGCCAGCTAGGCTTTTTAAAAAGTTACAGACGAACAAATTTTGGTTTCCCCATAAGGTTAACGTTACAAGCCAAATGTTTAAAACGTTTTTTCTCGAATTCAGGTTTTTCGACTTAGGCGGTTATTGCTTATGACCACTGATATATAGATATAGATTTTGAACATTCGCTCACTAGAGAATTTATTGAGAACCAAGCCTTATTAGTTTAAAAACTCGATTGCTGATAATTTTAATCAATGCCATTTTGAAAAGCACTAATGCGTACTTCCACTAACTGCTTCCCAAATTCCTGCAACTGGCTTATCTGTTGCTTATCGTGGATTAAGAATTTGATAAAATCGTAGGTACTTAAAGACCTCGGTTCTTACAAATGAATTTAGTTCAAATTTAGCTGTCACCGAGAGAGAATGAAAGCTTTGATTTTAATTTCGGCTATTTTAGCCATTTTTGTGGTCATCGCAAGTGCGTCAAAAATTCGTTATGATAACTTTAAAGTATTCAAAATTCGAACACAAAATGTGGAACAGCGAAAAATGCTGGAAAAATTAGCGACCGATTCGGAAAATGTAAGTTTGAAATGTACGAAAAGAGGGGTTTTCAAAAATATTAAAATATTTTTTTATTCTACGGGGATATATCGCTCATGCTGTTAAAAAAAATTTTCATATTAATTAAAAAAATTAAATTTTAAGCAGAGATAAGAGTTTCTGCAAAGCTTTATAGCTGAATAAATTGCAAAGCTACCAGGGTGCCTAGAATTGCGGTTACAAGAAGTGATGATATTTTTGGTAACAAAATTTCCCGGGTACAAAATGTTCGGTAACAAGCAGAATAGGCCCGTTATTGTATTAAAAGTGGCATTTTGAGTAGGCATCCACACTCAGAACTTTTAGCAGAAAATGCTTGTGAAAAATTAGTTCAAAGTTGCAAAAACTACTTTTATATGTGATTATTTTAAGAAGGCAGCCATAAGTATTGGTTCAAATGGATGAAATTTTACACAATTAAAATTTTTTTGTTTTTAATAACAATCAAAAGTTCAAAACTTTGTTATTTGTATGTATGTGTTATTCTACATAAGCGAATTTGGGTCTTGTTTTTTTGTCACAACTAAAATTCTATACAAAATACATGAAACAACATTTTTTACATATCTCCATTTGAATTAAAATTTTTTATTAAAATAATTAGCCAATCACCAAATTGAGACTTTCTAAAAAATTTTCACCTTAATATACCAAAGTTGAATGGGCTTTATGGGTTTTATGCATACTCGATTTATTTTTTAACTCCTATTAAAAAGTTTGCAATTTTTGATGAAGTTTTGCAGAATTCTTACAATTTTCACACTTAGATTTATATGGTATTTCTTAAAATATAAGCCTATTTTGTATAAAAAACTTACATAAAATTCTTATCTAGAAAACTGTTGTGAATATTTAAAAAAAAAAAATACCAGGTACTTTATTTTGTTTTAATTCAATAAAAATATTAATGTAAATGGAAATCTGCATTGAATTTTAGTTGTAGGAAAAATATTAAACACAAGTTTTATTTTAACTCATAAGAAAATGTGAAAACTTTCACTATTTCGTACTTTGGCGAATGTCTAAGAAAAAAGATGAGTCCAAAAATAGATCTCTTATACCAAAAACCGCTTGTAGCATGGTTTTATTCTTTACGACACTACAGAAAAAAGGCTTAGTAAAAAAAACTATTTTCGCAATTTGGCAATTTTTATAGAAAGCAAAAAATTAAAGTGTTGCCACCTATTTGAAATGTTCAGTTTAAGTAAATTGATAAGATAAAGGAAATATTGCAATATGGCCGTCAAAAGAACGGGGTTTATGAAAGCTTACAGCTCAAAATAACTTTAGGGAAGGTTACCACCTGTTTGAAAATTTTAATTCAATTTAATTGATAAAATAAATAAAATATTGCAATATGGGCATCAAACTAAACAGCTTTAGGAAATTTTACTTTCGAAAATATTTTTGAGGAGGGTTGCCATTTGTTTGAAAAATTGTATTCAATTAAATTGATAAAATAAATGAAATATTACTATACGGGTATCAAACAACACAAAAATACTTTTAAGTGCCGTTTTTACAGTGGGGACTTAACTAAAATTCGGTAGTTAACTTTAAATTTTTGTACGGAAAACCTGTAGTCAACTGCCGAATGAGAGTTCACTCGCCACTGTAAAACGGCCCTAAGGCGCAGGGAAGCACGCTGGGTATTTGCTAGTTTTTGAGCATTTAGTTAATACATATTCCTTTGCGGTACAGTGATCTTGTGTATAAAAGCATTGAAATTAGTGGTTTCATTTTATATTTCGTTATATCAATGAGCGAGTTTGGGACCTTAACTTTTCGTGGTTTATCAGAGTAACCGCTTTCGTATAGCAATTTCCTGTCACTGATAATCAACTATAAATTCCAGTTTAATTTATGGCACAGCAGCAATAAAGAGGTGCATATTATGGTCAGTCCACAAAAACTCATACATCTACAGAACTATACGCGCGCCTATAGCCTGCCTTTGGAAGTTATGGTCTCCAATGTGCAGAGGTAAGTAAAAGGGGGAAACTTAATGCAGATAACGCCAAAAACAACGTTTTTAATAAAATAATAACTCTCTCTAACCCCAAGTCTTATCGATGGTGAGCAACCCGCAAAATCTACAGACGATAGCACCTTCGGCTGGACACGCTATTATCCCTTATCAGCAATTGAAGTATTCCTAGACGAAATACTGGCGAAATACCCCGCAGTTGCGAGTGAAATAAATATTGGCACATCCTATGAAGGACGCAAGATACGCGGCATTAAGATCTCTTACAAGGAGGGTAATCCTGGCATCTTTATCGAAGCCAACATACATGCGCGCGAATGGATCACCTCAGCGACAGCTACTTGGTTAATCAATGAATTGCTGTCTTCTACCGACGAGGATGTGCGTAGTTTAGCTGAGAATCATGATTGGTATATTGTGCCAGTCTTAAATGTGGATGGTTTTGCGTACACACACGAAACGGTATTTAGTTCTGTTACAAAATTAGTTTAATTAAAATAATTGAAATTTCCGCTTAACTAATTACTATTGTTATTTCTTTTCGCAGAATCGCATGTGGCGTAAGACACGCCAACCAGTGGAGGGCTCAGCGTGTATTGGTGCTGATCCGAATCGTAACTATAATTCTCATTGGATGGAAAGCAACGGTGCTTCCTCGAATCCTTGCGATGAGACCTATGGCGGTCCGCAACCTTTTTCTGAACCCGAGGTTAAGGCGCTCGCCGATTATGTTACTAGCATTAAGGAACGTCTAAATATCATGCTCGCCTTTCATTCGTATAGTCAAGTGCTACTCTCTCCTTATGGCTGGACAAGTGAGCTTCCTGAAAATCATAGCGATTTGACAGAAGTGGCAAAAGCTTACTCAGATGCGGTCAAGGAGTTACCCTATGACACGGTTTATACTTATGGTTCCACAGCGAATGAGATGTGTAAGTCTAACAAACATGACTATTGTATTATTATTACTCTAGTTTCTCTGCCAAAAAAAGTGCGGTTGGATCGGAAGATTTCGGGATACGTTGCATAGTAGAATGTGACTACTTTATACCGCTGTTGATTTTTGGTAGTTTCAGCCGTGGTGCTCAGATTTTTTCAGCGAATATTCTGTCGAGATCTACGCCAACGATAGGATTTTAATATATCTCGTATTGTAGTCCCAATTGGAACCAATGGTTTCCAAACTATACCACACGTGCTACTCTTTAGAAACCGGTCGCACTTTTTTGCAGAGTGACGCGTATGAAACGCAAAGATAAATAAATGAAATGCCTCATTAAATTTGTATCTGCAATTAACTCCTCCATCCTTACAGACTACGCTTCTGGCGCCACCAACGATTGGGCTTACAGTGAACAGGATATCAAGCTCTCGTACACAATCGAATTTCGTGACACTGGGCGTTTTGGTTTCATTCTTCCGCCAGTCCAAATAATACCTCACTGTGAAGATACACTTGCTGGCTTGTTGGCACTGGTGAAGAAGGCCGATGAGCTGGGTTATCTTCAAACTAAATACGTATAATGAAGTTTATTTTATGAAGTTACAGAGCCATTAGTGAGTTGGGCATGTCTGCACTACAAATTTTAAATCAAATAAAAAATATTAATTTAAATATGTAAAGCTGTTGTTTTATTTTATTTTGTTAGCTTTCGACTTCTCTAAATACATTGATATATAGTACATACATCTATGAATACGGTGGTCCTTAAAAATATCAACATCTAAATTTTGTATGGAACATCCACGAAAATTTCCAAATTTAAACCACATTTCAGACGTCGCTACCAGAGTTTGAAGAAAATATTTTTTTTAATTGCCAAAAAATGTGAATTTTGCCAATAAAAATTTTTTTTTTATTTTTTTCAAATTTTAATTTCTTTAAAATGTTGACATTTTTGTGGATGCCTTTATTTTGTGCGTAGAACACGATGTTGGTATTTTTAAGGAGCTCCCTTATATGTGTGTATATAATTGCAAGTAAGTTCCTTAAAGATTTTTTGCAAAAAATTGTGTGTTATGTCATTTTATATTATGTTGTGTCATGTTATGTTACGCTATGCTATTTTATGTTAAGTATTTTTTTTTCGAGCGAAAACATCTAAAAGCACAACCCTGTCAGTGTGAGACATTAATCCACTGAAGCTTCCTAGCGTCTGATTATCGAACCCCGGTGCCTTAGGCGGCCCGTAGCGCCATTGGTCCTCCATCGCTAAGTTTTGAGTACTTTCTATCATAGCCTCTGCCTCTATAGACTTATCAAACATTGCATCACTCCGCATTATGAACAGCTCTATTTTCCAAAGAATTTGCCACGGGCCACAGATGATATAGTTACGCCACTGTAAAGGGGCCCGTAATTGTTGAGCCCGGGCTCGAGTTTTCTCTTGATGGCCCTGCCTGTGATGCTGATGTTATGATCGCATATACCTTACTTCACATACATATATTCTAGGTGCGTTGCTTCATGTTAATGCTGCATCAGTTTTCAATTAAGCAAACTCAAGTCCCATTTTCACCTAGTTAATTTAATGAACGCCTTTTTCACATCTAGCGATAGACAATACTGCTTCGAGCCATCGTGATCCTAATTTCACTCAAAGCTAGATATGTAACTGACACTTCTTTATCCATACTGATTGGGCGAAATTCCTTCCTTGTGCAGTACTAGCTGCTAAAAATACCATTTCTAGTGGGGTTCTGTACTAGAAATGCAATGCTTTGGGGTGGGCGATAATGAATCAGACACGACATGTTACTCGTTCCTTGTAGATATAAATATTCTGATGAGAAGTTTCGAGGGATCGAACCCAGGTTCTACAAAGTGGAGGTACGCATATCTGACCACTCAGCCACATCGGTCGTTTGGTACTATACGCTCTAGAATTTTACTGTCTTTGTGTAACAAGCAAGCAGATTGGTCGATGGATTCCACGTTGTGTAGCTTCTGAGGCTAGGGGTGCAATACATATGTAAGTTTTTTGCTTCCAAATCGTTGGAAAAGCGCCCTACGCGAAAAATAGGTACATTGAATACAGCAACACACGAGTCAAGTAAATGCTTAGGAGGATTGTACATACATACTGTATTTGCATGCTTAACATCTTTATCTATCCAAACGGCTTATCGGTAATAAAATACAATTAGATTAAGTAGGACGTGATAAAATAAAACGAATCAATTTTACAAGAATTTTACGATTACTTAATATTAAAGTTTAATACCATTCCACCTTCCGTTGGCAGAGGTACAAAATGAAAACTTTAATTGCAGTTTTTGGATTTTTGGCCATATTGGTGGCTCTCGCAAGTGCATCGAAAGTACGCTATGACAATTTTAAAGTATTCAAAATTAAAACCCAAAATTTAGAACAGCGACAAATGATCGAAAACTTGGCCGAAAATACAGAAAGTGTGAGTGTGAAAATGTATTAGTACAAGAAATTCAACACATATACAGGTACTGGCTATCAAAACTTAGCGAATGGTGATTTTTTTTTTTAAATATACACAATGTTATTCAAGTAAATTTTTTGTGTTATATTTTATAAAATTATTGTGCACTCTTGCACCAAAACCAAATGCATCAAACTTTCAAACTTTTTACAAAATTTCGAAAAATTTAACAAATTTTCATCAAAGTTTTTAACTTGTTAAATGAATTTTTAGGCATGCAGTTAGATGGTTCAGTGTAATTTATTAAAGCTGGCCTTGATTTCTTGATTTTTGTTTTGCAAACGAGCTTGCGCATTTTCTCCCACAAGAGTTTCATTTTCGTATGGAAAAGAATGCAAAAATCCGCCAGCAAAAAAAAAGTTTCAATGTGATTTTTTAGTCGTTAAACTTGCACTTGTTTTACTAAAGTTTTATGAACCATGCAACTGCATACCGAAAAATTTTCTAAAGATTCATATTAAAAAGCTAAAAAATTTAAAAAATTTTTTATAATGTTTGAAACATTGATTTATGTTCATTACATTTACTCTCCATACAAAAAAATCAGCTCTATTTCTCCATCGGAAATACAAATGATATTTTAAACCTTTTGAGACTATTTGAAAATACTTCTAAAAATCAAGTTCTTTATAAATGAAATTTATTATTAAATATTTTTTCTGAAAATCAGCTCAGATTGTAAAAGAGTTAATGCTTAAAAGGTTTGCATAAAAATGTTTAAAAACTGTATCACTGCAATCAAAATAAAGCGTTTTTGGAGGAATTTTCAAATCAGTGTGGCTCGCATTAATCTTAGTAGTTTTTCGAAACACTTTGGCGGAGGTCTTAAAGTAAAATAAATTTTTTAATTTCGGTAGGTAACTGCGTTTTTTTTTTGGTAATACACCCTACATATGTATATGGCTTTTGTTAAGGCATTAACTTTATTTTCAAAAAAATAGAAAATAAATACTATATACATATCAACAAAACTGTAACTTGAAAAACATTGTGAACATTTGCAAAAGATCCACCATTCTCTCAGATTTGATCGCCAGTATATCAACAGCTTATGGGTATTTGTTATTTTTTCTTGTAATTTATTTGATATATGGCGAATACTTAACATTGGACCTTGAGCATTGGAGTACATACTCAAAAAAGAAAAACAAAAGCACCAACTCTATACAAAGTATTTTTTTTTCTTTTTGCAAGAAACGTAGAACTATTGCTTTTAGCTTTTACTTGGTAAAGTTTTAGACGTTTAGTGTATTAACATAACTGCATATTATCCATGGCTAATTAACAAGCAAGCTAAACTTTTTCTGTTAGTTGAATTTCTTCCGTACATATTTGTTAATAACGAATCAAGCTTTTTTACATTGTAGTTTAATTTATGGCACAGCGATGATAAGGAAGTTCATATTATGGTAAATCCACAAAAGCTCATACATCTACAAAACTTGACGCGTTCCTATCAACTACCATTCGAAGTTATGGTCTCCAATGTGCAAAGGTAAGTTTGTAGGTGCATGCACATTAGGGTGGTCCAAAAACAATAAAATCGGATTTGTAATGCTCTCATCCCTAGGATTGTTCAATACCGAAAAAAAGTATACCCCTATTTTTTATTTTGAAATCAAAAAATATTTAGAGGTCGCTCACAATTTTCCATGTATTTTTATATGGGCAAAGAAACAACTTTACATAGAAATGGTATAGAATTCTTGAAAATATACATTTTTCGATCGGAAAACTCTTGTTCTCTTCAGGAGACTTTCAACGATAATAACCCAATTGTTTATTTAGCCATTTTTTTAATACTAACAGTTTTTTATTGGTCCCCCCATCGCATTTTTCGGGGTTTTTGGTGCCTGTTTAAGAGGCCTATCCCATTAGAAGGCTCTTTCGACATAATATTATGTAGATGGAAGGCCTCGGACAGTGTCACTATGAGTCATAATTTTGCCTCCACGTTTCCCTCTTGGAGCGTCTAATGAGTTTATCGTATTCAGTGAGTGCAGCCCACTAGGGAATCCTACGTTTCATCAAGGAGGAACCGGGAGTTATGCTGCCGCGGATGGATTCTAGCTGGACTTTATTTAGTTCCACTGGCTACTACCTCCAATACGTCGATTAAGCGAGTGTGCTCTAGCTACAACGGGCTTAGATCGCCCTGGGATCTCAAATCTTATTTGTTGGTGGGAGGTCCTAGCGATGATTCGTCTGAAACTTGCTTATGCTAGTACATTAATATTTTGAAAAAAAAAGTACTATATTTGTCCGTGTGATGAGCAGTCGATAGAGGAACTGAGCAGCGGTGAGAAGCAAGCAGAGCCATATTAGCTGACCTGCAATCTTCATAAATCCGGATAGTCTAATAGAAGATGTTATTGGCTGCCTTCTCCTTTGTAACATGCTATGCAGTTCATTCTGTAACAGACCTAGTTTAAATATGTGAAATGGTGGGAGACCGCGTCTTCTAAGTACCGAAAGCAACTCGCCTTGACAGCGTTAGAAGAATTACGAAAAAAGAGTCTGAATGAACACCAAAAACTAACCAAATGTCTAAATTGTTATTAAGGTGGAAATAATACAAACAGAAAAAACAAAAATGTAAAATTAAATTAAGTATGCGATAAGCTTAAAAAAGAAAGAAAGCTTCATATAAACTAACAAATTTACTTTTACTTAATATCATGTAAAAAACTACATAATACACTACTAATACACTTTAATTTCGCAGCCTAATTGATGCTGAGCAATCTTCAAAAACTACAGACGATCTATCCTTTGGCTGGACACGCTATTATCCCTTATCAGCTATCGAAGAGTTTTTAGATGAAATACTAGCAGAACACCCGGAAGTTACAAGTGGCATTGATATCGGTACTTCATATGAAGGACGTAAAATACGAGGCATTAAGATCTCATACAAAGAGGAGAATCCTGGTCTCTTCATCGAATCCAATATACACGCACGCGAATGGATCACCTCAGCGACGGCTACTTGGTTCATTAATCAGCTTCTAACATCGACAGATGCCGATGTGCGCTATTTGGCCGAAAACTATGATTGGTATATTGTGCCAGTTTTGAATGTGGATGGTTTCGTTTACACGCACGAAACGGTATGTTCCTTCATATAACTTAACTACTTGTCTCACTTTTTCCATTTAGAATCGCATGTGGCGTAAGACTCGCCAACCAGTTGAGGGATCTGCATGCATAGGTGCCGATCCGAATCGTAACAGTGATTCGCATTGGATGGAGAATGGCGGTGCTTCGGCAGATCCTTGCTCTGAAACTTTTGCCGGTTCACATCCTTTTTCTGAACCGGAAGTGAAGGCCATTACCGATTATATAGCTAGCATTAAGGATCGCATCAATATTATGCTCGCCTTTCATTCGTATAGTCAAGTACTGCTGTCACCATATGGTCACACTTCGGAGCCTGCCGATAATCACGACGATTTGATGGCTGTGGCAAAAGCATATTCGGATGCGGTCAAACAATTGCCCTACGGCACGGTTTACACTTATGGTACATCGGCAACAGCTATGTGTAAGTGATAAAATAAAGAAATTTTAAGTAAGGAAAAAAACCCAGGTTTGAACAAACGTTGTATAAAATCTATACCATATTTGAGCAGAGAATAAATCAGCTCCTGTTTTCTTTTTTTTTAGACGCAACTTCGGGTTCGACTAGAGATTATGTCTACAATGAACTAGGAATTCGTATTTCATACACCATTGAGATGCGTGATACTGGACGCTTTGGTTTTATTTTGCCGCCAGTACAAATATTACCACATTGCGAAGATACGCTCGCTGGAATTTTAGCGCTGGTTGACAAGGCCAAGGAATTGGGTTATCTAGAACTAAAATATTCAGTTTAAAGTTTGTATTTAAGTACAACATAAATAAATATCGCTTTGCAAGTAGGTATTTTGAAAAGAGTATTACATGCTACAGCTGCAAATATATCGATGTCAGTATCGATATATCGAGTAATTGTTTTTTTTTTTGCAGACATCGATATTTTTTTCGATATCGTGTATGGCTTAGCCATTTTCTCATTACTTATTTTTGCGCCAAACAACATCGCTGACTGATTTAATAGACTACAAATCTGCATATACATTTTTTTAATAAAAATTCTTATTAAAAAGTTCGCAATTTTTAAGAAACTTTTTTGATTTTTTTCTAATTTTTGCACAAATTTCGAAATTTAGGTTTATATGGCTTTTGTAAGAGATTGAGCTATACTTTTATAAAAAAAGTAATGAAAAAAATATGGAACGAAAAATCGTTGCGAAATATGTGATTTTGAGTGTGGGTCACTCTTCATACATGCATATCTGTGTTCGTATGGAAAAGTAGCTTATGTCGAAAGGCTGGCTTTAGTATAATGCGGCATTCCATTTATTCTTTAAACGACAAGAAATTTTTCGATGAGACTTAATAAGAATATTGACTTGCTAGTATCGGAACTATTTCTGGCACGTTTATTTGCCAAACGTTGTTCAACGGCTCAGTGCCTGTGAGTCATTCGCAATCGCATGCTGCGATTACCGATTTATACTTAATCCAGCCCTGCGACATAAGCTACTTTTCCATACGAACACAGATATGTACCTCATATATATGTATAATAAAATTTTCTGTTGGTAAATGGTTCTATTCATTTTTTGAATGGGTAGATGTTTTTCAGCGTAGAATTAAAAATTCACGATATATATCGATATGTCGAGTTTTTGTCTCTTAAGTATCGAAAATAGCGAGTACGGCGAATATCGATACTTTTGCAACTCTAGTTAAAGGTACCACCATAATGCTTGGCAGATTTAAATTATATTAAAGCTTTTGAAGAAAACTTTAGGGTCTGCGTGTAAACACAGGCAAAATTGCGATAACCATGACGACCTGTAAATTAAGGATGAGGACACTTGTATAAAAGCTAGGCTACTATGGCCGCAAATTGATAAAAAAAAATTATAATATTTTACATTGAAGTATGAACTTTTTTCTTTTAAAACGTAAGAAATGTGAAAATTTTACACTTTGGCCAGATACTTTAAGAAAAAATAAAATCCATAAATCGATTCCTACAAAAAATCCCGTATAGCATTTTTTTTGTAAAAGAAATGTACACCATCTTCGTGCAAAATAAAACGCTGCTAAGAAAAAACCATTTTGGCAAGCTCGAGATTGATTTCATACCAATGTATTTTTGGCAAACTTGCTTGGACTTAGCCTTGAGTAAAGCGCAATTTTTATGGCGCTGGCTCTATAACGCCGGCGCCATCGATAGTTTCTCTGATGTTCTCACCACTCAAAAGCAAAAACAAAATACGTATAATTTAAAAAAACTAAGGCGAATTGTATGTGTGTCTCATGTGTTTCTTGGTGTTAGCGGCGCTAACGCTTTTCATATGTTGGTGTTGGCGTGGCAACTCCGGCTACGGTGACAATGCAATTGCGCAGCGCAGTGTTACCCATGCTCAGGTAAAAAATTCTCCCATACAAATTGACCCATTGTATGATAATAAACCACCAATAAACACAAAAACCAGTTTTTATTACTTTTTTATCTTTTACCACGTGACGAATGTTTGAAATTTTTCACTTCACAGACGACAACGCACCGTTCGAAAGAAATAACGGCACACAGGAGTGGATCTAGACGTGGCTTTTGGAGGGGAAAAGTTATGTATAGTACAGTCAATCTGGCTCTATTTGTAGGTGTGCCTAAAAAGTTCCACTTAGGTTAAAAATGGTACAATGCTGCTCAGAAAAATATTTTAATCAAAATAAGTAAATGTTCATTCCTCAATTTGACATTACTTTTTTAACCGACTTCAAAATAAGGAGGAAGTTATCAATTCCTTGTAATATTTCATGGCGGCATAAATGCTGTCGAAAGAGGTTTTGAAGTCGCAAAATAGATGGTGAGTGTCGCTCCTTTTCTAACGGGTCTTTTCCGAGACTTCGCGTATTGTGAAAACCTGGTCTACGGTGGATTGGCCAAGTCTAAAGCCACATGGATAAGGTCGAATCAGTTCGTTGACGATGGGCTTTAGTCTTTCGCACAATACGCTCGAAAGCGACCTTTAAGCGTAGATAGAAGGCTGATCCAGCGGTAGTTGGCGCGAATGGCGGGGAAGCCTTTCTTGTGGATTGGGCAGAGCGCACTTGAGTTCCAGTCGTCAGGCATGCGTAAGAGTTGACGACGCCAAACTTGAATAGCTCAGCTGGCAGGCTGTCAGCTCCAGCAGCTTTGTTGTTTCTCAACCGCGTAATTGCTATTCGTACCTGCTCATTGTCAGGCGGTGGGACATCGACTATATTATCATCGACTTGGGGCTCGGCTTCGTCGTCTCCACTACCTTCATTGCTGCAGCCCTTCAATAGGGTGTAAAAGGGGAGCGGTAGTAAATTCTGCCCTAATATTTCACCAACTTCCAGATGAGCTAGAGACCTGAAACTTCAAACTTAGCCCGTAACCCGATGGCAATGCAGTGAAATGAAATGCCCGTTAGGCTATTATTATTATTATCATTATTATTATGGGCCATATGCACCGCGACCTCTGAATTGATCTATTATACGTGACCCTCCGCCCTATAGGGGAAGGCTTTTAATGTAGCCTAGCACTTTCAAGGGCGTTTTGTTCCAAATTTCGAATGGATTACGTGTAGCACCACCCAAGTGAGCTAGTATGTGCCTAGCGTTTCTAGTGGTCTGGCGTATCCTCCTTCAGTTCACAGAAGCGACATGCATTCATCGGGCCATATTGTTGAACCAATTTTTTAACAAAAATATACACTTGAACTCTTTCTGAAACTAAATATTTGGGGGATTCACAACGGTGTCTTAAGTGTTGTATTGTTGTATGTCGTAAACTTTAAACGCCTAAAAATATATAAGGGGGTTTGCAAAATACCATAAAATGATATGAATTTTTGTAGTGTTAAAAAATAGTTGGTTATCGTTTCAAGTTCTCTAAACATTTATTTACGACATACAGCAATAGGAGACCTACGACACCGTTGTGAATCCCTCAATTATTTATTAGCTATAATTTAATGCATTACGTTAATATGTATAAACTATAATTATATATGTATCTTTATTTGCTTTATGGCATTCTATATTTTGGAAAAATCGGAAAACCTATTTTTATTTATTTATTTTTTAGTTTTGCTTCACGAAATTCTATGTGTATTATTTAAATTAAAATAAGTTATTTTTCAATACAGAATTTTGTAAAACAGAATTTTGCTATACTGAGTTTTGCATACAGAATTTTAAATACAGAATATTGAACCATAATAATTTTGTACCCAACCCTGTAAAAGTAATCCCTCCATAATTTAAGTAGGTACGTTCTGGACATCGGTTACTAGATCGCCATGGCTGTTCTTACAGGAGTTCGCCCCGATCTTGAAACCTTCCGTAAGTCGCCTTACTCCCTGGTAAAATTTTCCTATCGGCCAGCATTTCAAAAATACGTTATACTTAACAAAAATTATACAAATTCGTACAGCGTGTTTTTACTACCTTGACCATAATAAACTTTTACATACATATGTATGTTTTTAAGAGCTCAGATTTGTTTGTGTATTTCTAACGATAAAACTATTTTGCTTTCGTTAATGTCCATATAACCACGCGAATTAACCAGATTTTATCGTATGTATTTTTCAATTTTAGCCTTACCTTATCTAAGCAAATTGCCAATCGATAATAAAATAAAACTAGATAAAGTAGGATGTGATAAAATAAAACTTATCCATCTTACAAGAATTTCACCGTTAATTAACATTCAAGTTTAATACCATTCCACCTTCCTTTGGCAGAGGTACAAAATGAAAACTTTAACTGTGGTTTTCGGATTTTTCGCCATACTTATAGCTAACGGAAGTGCATCGAAAGTACGCTATGACAATTTTAAAGTATTCAAAATTAAAACTCAAAATGAAACGCATCGACAAATGATCGAGAAATTGGCTGAGAATACAGAAAGTGTGAGTGAAGATAGAGTTCAAAGAATAGTAGCAGATATACATTGAGTGAAAACAAGTATTATAAAATATTGACTAGTGATTAGTACGATATTCCAAAAATTAGTATGTTTTAATATCGTTCCCTCAATATAACAATAGCGTATAATTTTTTTTGGGTTTTGAGAAAATCGAGTTTAAAGTTTTTGTTTTTTTTTTGTTTGAAGGAAATTTTTGAACAAGAAATTATACACCATTTTTTCCAATGACATTTTGACCCACTTTGTGGAAGTAGAATTTGACGAAATTTTGACCAGACATAGAATCAATGATGGAGATTCTAAATATGCAATAAAAAAATAATGGCGTATGAGCACATACGCTATTGTTATATTGAGGGGACGATATGTACTTAAATTTATAATAGCTTATAGATATCTGTTATTTTTCTCAACTTATTTGGTGTATAGAAAAAATTGGAACTTTTACCAAGTGTGACTAATATAAGAATAGGACCACGTGATAAAAATATGAATATTTTCGAAAGTAATAATATGTAGGAACAATATTTATTTTGCAGCTTATTATAGATAGTCCCATGAGGTTTCTGCATAATTTCCTTTTCAAAGCAGCGTGAATAACACAAAAAAAAATTAAATTGTTAAAAATTTTAATTATTGAAAAAAAAATTGCTTGGTTTGATTTTGTATAAGAATGTGTTAACATTTATATACACCCCGTGTAATAATTATATATATTTATATTGACAAGTTTAATTTATTTATTTTTTTGCTATTTAATTTTGGTTAGTTTTTAATAAAAACATAGTTTCATCTAGTTTGAAACTTTGCGCTATATTTGACAAAAAAAAACAACTGGCTAGAATTTACAATTGATTTTTGGCATTTTTTTTTTTGTTGGCATATTCTTCCAACCAGAGTAATTTCAAGGTTTTTTTTATAGAAGTAAATAAGCAACACTTTCAACAAAAAAAAAACGGGTGTTATATATGTCCGAGCAAAAAATGTCAAAAATTAATAGTATATCTGTATGTCCTCGCCATTTCAGACTTTCACTTTACTGCACTCAAACTGAATGGGCTACAAAACAGCACACTCAAAATCTTTAAAAGAAATCTAATTAAAAAACTCAAAATTGTTTGCCAAAGTTTGTGGACCTTTTTGTAATATTGCACAAAGTTTGAATTTATATATGATTTTTGTTAAGAAGTAAACTATATTTTTGTAAAAAAAATACCTAAAATTCAAGATCATACAATAAATTGTTAAAACTTGTCAATAACTATAACACGGAGTGTATGAGCAGTCGAAATTTCATGCCGATATCTTGATATCATTATAAGTAGCAGCGACCGAAAGTAACGGCTAAATATCAATATTTTAATTTTTAGATCATTGCAAAATCGTTTTTTTTTTTTATATTTTTATTTGTTTCGATAAAAAACAATCGCCAATGTGGATATTTATTTTTTCGATTATCTTTAACCATTGTAATGGAGACTCCTTTTTTGTGACCGATTTAAATCTTTTATGATCTAAAAAATTATATCCGGAAATAACGGTTATAATAAGATCGAAAAAAAACAAAAATCTAAAATAATAAAAAGACTTGTCGAAAAAATAAAAATCCAAAAATAACGGTTTAATTTTATCGAAAAAATATAAGTCAAATTTTAAAGCTTGAATTATAATTTTTTCTAAAGTCACAACCTAATAATCACTTTAAAATGATATACTTAAAAAAAAAAAATTCGTGACGTGGCCTTACTGATTAAGAAGTTATCTGTATTACCATAGGCATATTACACCAATTTTACTGTGATATATGTTCATACATATATCCATGGGCTGATAAGCGTGCTGACGCGGCTCAAAGAAGAAAATAATTGCAATACTTATGCCTTTTTACTTAACAGTTTAATTTATGGCGCAGCGATGGCAAAGAAGTTCATATTATGGTTAGCCCGCAAAAGCTCATACAACTACAGAACTTGACGCGTTCCTATCAACTACCTTTGGAGGTTATGGTATCCAATGTGCAAAGGTAAGCTTTCTAACCACAGATACAATTTTGATGTAATTCTTTCACTTCCATCAAAGTTTTGTGGCCAAATATAGAGCTAATTATTTGTGACCTTATTACCTAAGTTAACTAGTATAAAGTTAGCAATTGTGATGCAACCAGTGTTGCCAGAATCTTTTTGTACCGCATCCCCATATCAAGTTGCAGTTATCCCCAAAAAATTGTCATCTTTTTCGAAAGCCTCATTTAAATCTATTTTACTTTTGTATAACAAATATTTACAGATTTAATATATAGACATACGTACACATACATATGTAAGAGATCATTTGGTTATGAATGTATTGCGGTTTCTTGTTGTTTATGGTTGTTGGAGACTATTTGATAACATACCTTCGGCCCAAAGTTTCTATACCTACTTTTGTCGGTAAATTCGTCCACAATTGATCTTCTTTGTTTGTGTGCTTTCCACTTTGTTAATTTCTTTTTACACTAAATGAAGAACACTTCTGATCTGTGAGGATCGTAAAAGAAAATATTATTCAATTCACCAGCGATATGACCAATGCAGGGCAGAAATAAGACTTTACAATACATTAATTCTTATAACTAGATCATCAGCATAGACTATTAATCTCATTGCTTGCCTTACCACTCATCTTGAGCAACATTTTTTTGATGTATTATACAGATGACATCTGCAATGAAATACCATATATAAAATAAGAAGTCTGAAAGAAACAGAAAAACTGTGTTAATTTATCGAAGGGTATACAATGACTCAAATAAATTACCACGCTTTGGTTTTATTTTAGTATTCATAATGTTTTTCGAGCAAAACTTTTTTTTTTTTTTCTATAAAAATACCGTCCAAGCTTTAACCAAAAGCATATAAATCACAGTTTCAAACTTTATACAAAATTTAGGAAAATTCAACAAATTTTCAACTTTTTAATCTGAAACTTTAGAAAGTTTTTGGGTATGCAGTTTTATAGGCCATACAATTTAGTCGCTTTGATTTTTGAGAAATTTTTTGGATACTGCTTTTGCGATTTTTTTTATATAACAACTACAATTTACAAAAACTGACGTTGATTTTTAGAAATTTTGTTGCTAACGGTCCCCCGCATTTTATTTCATAAGAAATGCATGCTTATATGGAAAAAAAGTGCAGAAATTCGTCACAAAAAAAAAACTCTAAAATCAACGTGATTTTGTAGCCGTTTAAAACTTGCTCTTCATCACACTAAAATTGTATGGGCTATAAAGCTGCATACCCAAAAATATTTTAAAGACTCAGATTAAAATGTTGAAGTTTTGACGAAAATTCTTTATCAAGTTTGAAACTATGATTTATATGATTTTGGTTAAGGCTTAGAGATTATTATTTATAGAAAAATCAAAAAAAAAAAAAATTTGCTCAAAGCAAATTACGAATATTAAAAAAAAAACCAACACGTGTTCATTTGTTTGAGTCACTGTATGTATGCAATATACATATATATTTGTATCAGTATAGCACCCAAAAATTCCAAAAATATTTTATTTTCAAGTCAGGAAACAAATAAAATAGTAACAAAAAGTTGCGACTTTGGCTGGCTAGGACGGTAATTTCTATGACAGGTAAGTAACAAACATTTTTTTTCGTAATCCGGGCTTATTAGCCCTTTCTGAATAAAGAAATAAGGCTGGTCTTTTTAGTTTTAAAAATGGGCTTGAGAGGAAATGTCCAATGATTGTTAGAACCCGATATAATATATGTATTTGAAAAATTAAAAACAAAACTTCCTCCAACACTTTTTATAAAATTTCATATTAGAAAAGAGAAGATATGTATAGAACAAAATTAACTAAATATTTTCCTCCTGCATACCAAATAAAGTAACAAAAAAACCGTTCTCAACAATTTTTAACACCGCAGCTTTATTGATGTTGAGCATTCTCCAAAAACTACAGACGATCTATCCTTTGGCTGGACACGCTACTATCCCTTATCAGCAATCGAAGAGTTTCTAGATGAAATACTAGCAGAACACCCGACAGTTACAAGTGGCATCGATATCGGCACTTCCTATGAAGGACGTAAAATACGAGGCATTAAAATCTCATACAAAGAGGGTAATCCTGGTATCTTCATTGAATCCAATATACACGCACGCGAATGGATCACCTCAGCGACGGCTACTTGGTTCATTAATCAGCTTCTAACATCAACAGATGCCAATGTGCGCGATTTGGCCGAAAACTATGATTGGTATATTGTGCCGGTTTTGAATGTGGATGGTTTCGTTTATACGCACGAAACGGTATGTTCCTTCATATAACTGAACTACTTGTCTCACTTCTTCCCCTTTAGGATCGCATGTGGCGTAAGACTCGCCAACCGGTTGAGGGATCAGCATGCATAGGTGCCGATCCGAATCGTAACAGCGATTCGCATTGGATGGAGAATAGCGG